TGCATTTCACGACAGGGGGTGCATAATTTTGACACAACACCTCCTGTTCTAGCCAATTTGATGTCCTAGGCGAGATTTTAGCTGGCTCTCCAGTTTTAAACGATATTTTTGGTTTACTGCCCTATACATTGAAATGATTTTCAAACCTGTTTATCCAAATAATTATAAAGGAGTGCCTTGGAAATATTTGTTTATTAAAATTGTGATCAAAACTTTTGAGACCCACTGAGATAACTTAGACTAAAGTTAACTATCTAAACACTCAGAGTCTTTTACCTCACTGAGCCTCTCAGCCTGACCTCCACCCTTGTGGTACAAACATCTTATTCTTATATCCGTTAGAGCAGCTAGCACCAGATGCTAATAACAACAGCGCCGGTACCGGTGCACCCTCTCTCTCTCTCCCTCTTTGGCTGTGAGCTGCGGGCGCCTGATAAGCCAACACTCCCCCCCAGATTTGGCGCCCTAGGCGACCGCCTTTGCCAAAAACCGGCCCAGCTCTCAGTGAGTCAGGAATAGTTTGTAAAACAGTGGGTAACTGTAACTAAGTACATTTACTTAGTACTGTTCTTAAGTACAATTTTGAGATACTTTCTTGTACTGTACTTGAGTATTTCCATTTTACGTTACTTTGTTCTTCTACTCCACTACAATTTAAAGGTAAATCATGTACTGTACTTTTACTCCACTGCATTTATTTAAATCAGGAGAGACTTCAAGTTTGTTAAGTGAGATAACTTTCAATATTTATTGCCGTGGTAAAATAAATACTGGTGGTGGTGAAGAGCTGAAGGGAATAATGAAGAGTTGGAGTGATGAGAGTTCTTCTGGGCTTGGCCTGGGCCTGGATCTGATTAACTGGAGGTGAATGGGGTGGAGGAGGAGGGCTGCATCGATTCTCCTTAAATGACAGCTGACAGGGGAGAAGAGAGCAGATTTGAAAAGGTGCCAGATGCGCTGTGATTGGTTTGTGGGAGATGAGACGAGTCTGATTGGTTTTGTTGGGGGTGTGGTGCATCCTTGCTTATTTAAAGAAAGGGCGAGAGGATGTGAGAATGAGAGTGTAAGTCTTCCTGAAACCATGTGCGCTGAGCTTCATTTAATACCTTTAGTTACTTTACAGATTTTGATTAATGGTGTGAAATATAATCACCACTTAAATCAGACTTTGGTTCCACCTGAGCAAATTCACAAGCTAACCTGCAGTATACAAAGTCATTAAACTAGCTGCACCTTTACCAGCTTTGATACCACTTTCATGATCAATCATTATAAAACATATCATATATATTATTCTGAAATGGACCAATCTGCATAAAGAGTACTTTGAATACCTTTGTACTTTTACTTGAGTAACATGTTGAATGCAGGACTTTTAGTTGTAACAGAGTATTCCTAGAATCTGGTACTTCTACTTTTACATTTGTTGATGTTGAGATTAGTACTTCCTTGCTGTGCATTAACCTTTACTTTACGGTGTTGGTATGAAAGTAACAGTTGACTTTAGTGCTGTTTTCCTACAGAGTTGATTCAACAAATTCACTTTTACAAAGAGGACATTTAATTGTACATGACTTAAGTGTAAATGGCTTTTTTTATTTATTTATGGTCATTTGTAATAAATGCCACATCATTGTGTTTTAAACTATTTTCTATGTTTTCACTACCCAGGCCTGGTTATCATATGGACCAATCACAGCTTGTAACTGCCACTACAACTTAAATAATTGGATGGCATCGGCTGGACTCTCCCTTATCGTTTGTTGAAAAACCTGCGGCAGACCGTCAGAGACAACAGCCTCAAATTCAGGTATGAATAAGAGAAGCCTTTCAGAAAGATAAATTGGTGGTGAAGCTTGTTTTTGTGTTTGGCTGTCGAAAAACCAAATAAGCCCGTTAGTGGGAGCAGATTGGATTCTGCGATGTTCATTCAAAGTGTATCTTTTGGTGGTTGCTCATGGAAAAAAAACGATGTCAAACAAATGTACAGTAGCACAAATATATAATAAAACATAAGAGGATTTCTAGTCTGTCATATAATAGCGATGAATGTTGAAAATATATTGTTGTCATAGTTTATTTAGATCAAACGCTTGAAGAAAGCCTTTCTACAGTGGCAGTTCTAGGTCAATTTCACCAGGGGGGCATGCTGTAGCCAGTTATTGAGAGTGGGGAGAAATATCCCATTATTTTTCAAATAACTTGTGTCAAAAGCACAGTACAAATAAGACTTTAAAATCAGAACATACATGTATTTCGATACCTTCGGCTCAAGTTACAGCACAGTCTTTGCTGCAACAGTATTACAAATGGTATTATCATAGGCTCTTCTTTAGAAAGGGGGGCCACAGGGCAGTCAAATCTCAATGTAACATGGGCACTGGCCCCCCGTGGGTCCCCTCCTAGATTCTCCCATGCTTTTCACAGCGTCTTTCTGACATAAATAGATGCTATGTGGACACATGGCTTTAAAGGACAAGTCCCACTCTCCAAGGTTAACAATGTCACATTGAAAGAGTAAATACGTCCAACTACTTGGTGATAAAGATTAATGATTAGCTTAAGTTCGATGAACGTGCTGCTAGGAAGGTAAACATAATGTGTTCTTGTTAGCCTGTGTGTTGGCAGGTTAACTGATGTAACAGGGGGCAGTAGCAGATGATTTTATATTTTTCTCTCCTTATGTTCTCAAATCCAGCAGTTGGTGTCCAGTGGAATCAGTCTCTGATGTGTCCTGCACAGTGACATTATGGAGACAGCAGCAACAGGTGAGTTCAGACTTTATCCTGTCGTCTGCTTTAAAAGTCATTTAAGAGCACCATGTCCATTTCTTCTAAGTTTTTGTATGTATATATGTATGTATGGATGGATGTATGAATGGATGTATGGATGTATGGATGGATGTATGAATGGATGGATGGTATTTATGTATGTGTATGTATTATAACCATTGTTACTATAGTACCATTCTGTGGACCTGCAGTTCACTGTGATGGATTACACACAAAATCAATATTTTCACTTTAGATTTTTGCCTCTCTGCTGCTGCAGTCTTTTTGAAAAAAAGGTTAATTCACAAAACTGGAAACAGTTAATAAAACCCTTGCATGTTCCCTTACATTAAAGAAAACATGTGAATGTATCAATGTTGTGTACTCTTATAGGGTCAGATGATCCGCCACCTGTGAAACAGAGCAGCATCTATGGATTGCTGCCACCTAACAGTGAGTTTAACTGAACTGAGTCTGTTTTAATCAAGGTTCATTCACAATAATGGAACCAGTCAATAAAACACGCGGCATACACCCTTTAATCAAATGTGAATGTTCTGTATTCTTATAGTGTCAGATCATCTGCTACCTGTGAATCGGAACCGCAGCTATCAATGGCTGCCACCTAACAGTGAGTTGAACTGAACTAAGTCACAACTTTCCCTTCGTATTACAGTCTAAACTACAGGGGGAGTAGGTTATGGGTACAACATCTTTGTTTTAGTTTAATATTTGCAAGATCATTGGGGATTTTGCATGTTGAGGATGATAACAGCTGACACAATTACTCAAGTCCACCTTTAAAGCTGTCACTTCATCGTGAACTATCAACGGGGGGTGGGGGGGAGCTCAACGCTCATGAACTGTCAACAGGAGGGTGGGGGGAGCCTCGCTGCGGGGAAGCTGTGGACCTCTTTCGCCAGCGGTCAGCGCAACTTACATGATGCCTTTTAAACAAATTTAAATAAAGGGCGATGCCGGCCGTCAGCGAACCCCTGACGACCGGCCGTTCCGTGATTCTCCAGAACACACAGATGGCAAGTCCGCCCCTGTGTAGCATATTCTTTTCGATGACAGATGAGCAGATCGCCCCTGGGCTTTCAACTAAAGACACAGCCAGGCAAAAACTGCGGCATGTGTACACCCCTGATCGTTTCACCATTAAAGACCTTGCAAAAGCTAAAATTCAAAATTTGCTTGAGAAGCCTCTATTGGACTGCTTTGTTTACTTCTGCCACATAATGACGTCACATAGTAACACTCGCGCTTCTATTGGCTAGCACTCAAACACAGTGTACTTTATAGGGGCGGACCGACAACAGGCCAGCTAACCAATCAGATCAGACTGGGCTCTGGTTTCAGACAGAGGGTGAAAAGAGGTGCTGCAGCACAGGCAGTATTCCCGCTCGGGAAATACTAACAAGCTGAAGGAACGGCACACCAACCTCCGCACTATGGGAGATCGAGCTTTCTGTGCAGCTGCTCCCCGGCTGTGGAACTCACTCCCAGACCATCTCAGAGCTCCTCAACCTGTGAACACTTTTAAGAGAGCACTAAAAACCTACCATTTTAACAAAGCATTTGGTTAGCTTTTTAAGCCGGTTTTAATAACCCTGCCTCTCCTTTTTAAAACGTGTTTTTAAACTTGTTTTTTAACCTGTTTATACATTTTGACTCTTGCAAATGGTTTTCTTTATCTTTTTTTATTATGTACTGTAGCACTTTGAGGTTTGTTTCAAATGTAAAGTGCAATACAAATAAAATGTATTATTATTATGAGAAAGATTAGAGCATGTAAAAATGTCACAGTAGAGGCACACATTTACCTTAAAAATGTGCATAATATGTTCCTTTTAAGTATTTAGTTAGAGTTATTCTTCTAATTCTGTGTTTTTATTTTCAGTGTCTGAGCTGAGGGTTGTTCTGCTGGGGAACAGCTGGTATGAGAGGAGTTCAGTGGGGAACTACATACTAGGGAAGACTATGTTTGACACTGAAAAAGAACCGGACCACTGTCTGAAAGTCAGTAGGCAATTGAAAGGAAAAGAGATAGTTCTCATCAACACCCCAGATCTGCTGCACCCCAACACCCCTAAAAACAAACTGACAGAGTATGTGAACGACTGTGTGAGCCTCTCTGATCCTGGACCTCATGTGTTCCTGCTGCTTCTACAGCCTGAAGAGTTCACTGAGGATCACAAACTGAGACTTTGCAGAGTCTTGGAAGTCTTCGGTGATCAATCTTTTGATCATGCACTGATTCTGATATCACCACCCACAGAGGAGAGTTCAGGTGTCATGGATTTTATGCAGCATCCACTCTTAAAAGACATGATTGCAAAGTGTAGAAACAGATATTTGATTGGCCAGTCAGAGCTGTTAACACGTCTGGGTCAAACTACAGAAGAGATCTTTGGACACTTTGAAGGCAGTGATGAGGAAGTAGGTTTGATCATGATAAAGTGTGAATGCATCAAAGCAGCTTTAAACCTGGTTCTGTGTGGGAGGCGAGGAGCAGGGAAGACTTCAGCAGCCAAGGCCATTTTAGGTCAGACAGAGCTCCATTCAGCCTCCAACTCATCAGAGTGTGTTAAACATCAGGGAGAGGTGTGTGGACGCCGGGTTTCTCTGGTGCAGCTGCCTGCCTTGTGCGGAAAACCTCAGCAGGAAGTGATGGAGGAATCATTCAGGTGCATCTCCCTTTGTGATCCTGAGGGCGTCCATGCCTTCGTCCTGGTCCTACCTGTGGGTCCCCTCACTGATGAAGACAAGGGAGAGTTAGAGACCATCCAGAACACATTCAGCTCTCAAGTCAACGACTTCACCATGATTCTGTTCACCGTGGAGACAGATCCCACAGCTCCAGCGGTCGTTGAATTTATACAGAAAAACAAAGACATCCAGGAGCTCTGTCAGAGCTGTGGAGAAAGATATGCTGTTCTCAACATCGAGGACCAGCAGCAGATCCCAGAGCTGTTGGATGCTGTGGAACAGACGAGAGTTGAAGGATCCAGGTGCTTCACGATGACGATGTTCACCAAGGCTCAGATGAAGAAGGTTGGAGAGCTGGATAGCGTTAACAGAACACTTAAAGCGAGAAAGAAAAGTGAGATGGGAGAAGATGACGAAAGAGAGCGTCTCAGGATGGTACTGATCGGGAAGGCTGTCGGTGTGAAGAGTACAATTGGAAACACCATTTTGGGCGAAGAACATTTCCGCCAGAAGTTTGTGACCACCGTGTGCCAGAGAGCAACAGGAGAGATTCATGGACGATCTGTCGCTGTGGTCAACACACCTAGCTTGTTTGAAACACCTCTGTCTGATGATGACCTCCGACGAGAGGTTAGAAAATGCCTCAGCATATTGGCTCCTGGACCTCATGTGTTCTTACTGGCGCTGCAGATTGGAAACGTTACACTAGAGGAAAAACACTCAGTGGAACTGATCAAGAAATATTTTGGCAAGAAGTCTCAAGATTCCATCATCATTATACTCACCAGAGGAGATGAACCTGAAGGTAAGTTATCTGAGAGTTATGCCGACGTTTGTGGTGGCTTTGTCAAAAAACTCATCAATGACTGTCGAGGGAGGTACCAGGTCTTCAACAAAGGTGACACAGAGGGCACGCAGGTCAGGGAGCTGCTGACCAAGATCGAGACCATGGAGAAGGAAAATGGCGGCTGCTGCTACACCGAGGGATACACAGCAAAACAAGTGGAGAGGATTTTGAAAGAGAAAGAAGAAGAAAGGAAAAGAAAGGAGGAGAACCTGCGAAAAAAACACGAAGATGACATGAAAACACTGGAGCGCAAAATCAAAGAAGAGGAGAGAAAGCTGAGGGGAAATCAGCTGAAGGAGAAGGACCAAAGCATCAACAAGGAGCGAGAGAAGAGAAAGCAAGAACGGGAGGAAGTTGAAAGGGGACGGAAGAAACAGGAAGACACTACGCGACAGGAATGGAAAAGAAAACTGGACGCGTTAGAGGGAAAGGTTCAGTATGAAAGAGAGCAAAATGAAACGTATGCAAAGAAACTGGAGCAGATTAGAAGAGAGGTCAAGAGAGATCAAGAGTCCTGGAATAGGGAGCGAAAGGACACCTGGGAACGAATACATGAAGAGGATAAACAGAGCCTGGAGGAGTGGAAGGTCAACTACAGGAATCTGCAAGAGGAGTACCATTATAAGAGAAGAAAATACACATACTGCATAGTGGTGCTGATGTTGTCTCTATCGTATTTATTATCTTATATATTTCTCAGTTAGGAATACCATGCATACACACTACAGACTTTTAATGGACATTCCTACATTCACACATCATTGGCGCACCATCTTCCGGCACAGGCTGAAAACTCATCTCTTTCGACTCCACTTCGAGCGATAGAATTACTAACAAAGAACTGCTAACAGAGCCCTTATAAAGGACTGGCTTATCTATAGCCAGTTGAGTAGCACTTGAAATCTTTGGCTCTATGAAACCTGATGTACTTATATGATTCTGTTTTCTTCAAGGTTGTATCTTCCTGGATCGAATGTACTTATTGTAAGTCGCTTTGGATAAAAGCGTCAGCTAAATGCAATGTAATGTAATTGGCCATGCCATCAGTTGGAGCTTGGGGTTGAGTATTCTGTCAAAGCATACATCCACATGATGACTGCAGCTGCGAACCCACAACCTTCCGTTTGAAAGAAGACCGCACTACCTCACAGCCAGACTCTTCCCGGAGAAAAAAACTCTATGGCTGAAGTGTTAGTCGGTCTGGATACACACACACACAGAGAGACACGTAGCAGAGTTGGTCTCGTATCTAATATCCATCTGTGTCTTCTGAAGAATCACAGCAGAGTTGGTATCCATTGAGGCTGGCACGCATATATTTTGTTTTACTTTGATGTAACATAATCATTTAAAGGGGTCCCATTATGCTTTTATGCCTGAAACGCCTCGATTCTACTCCTTTGTTTACGTAACATTCCCGCTACTATTGGCTGGTTCTTCAACATATTGTTTGTGATGCTAAGGGGCGGGACATCTCTAAGCGGATGACAAATCACAACAGAGCTAACCAATCAGAGCAAACTTGCCTCTGGTTTCAGACAGAGCGGGAAAAGAGGTGCAGCAGCACAGGCAGTATGAGAAAAATAAAGAGCTTTTTGAACATTAACTAATGCAACCGTTTGGTTTTAACTTGAAAATACATCTTCAATAACATTACCAGTGAAGATCAAAGTTGGGAGGCTTACTTTTAAAATGTATTCTGTTGACTAGTTACCTGTAAAAACTAATCTGACTATCAACACATACAATTATTGTAAACTAATTACGTATTGTTATTTTTGGATAACCTCACTATTGAATGTAATTATAATAAATGCATGAGAAAATAAATATTAATGTGATGTTTTTTACTTAAGTGAATTATGTTATAAAACAGAACAATGTGACAAAAGAAGAAACCAAGATATTTATTATCTAAAATGTGTCTTCTGCTCAGAGATTGTATTTATAGGAAAACCTGCCTTTCATTTAGTTGAATCGACACTTAAGCTCACACACACTTTTCAATGAACATATAGGTTGAGCTACTGAAGCAATGAAAGTTAACACCATACAGCAGATTCAGGCAGTAGGCGTATAGATTTACACTTAAAGTATTGCAGTACAGCTTACAGAGAAGAAATGAAATCTGATTATTTTACAACAAATCCAATACGCTCTTTTTAGTTTTTTAGTGACATTGTAATCCAGTTTATAATTTTTTTTAGAAATGTAAAAGTAATCTGATGGGAATACAGAATTTCTGTAGGAGCTTGCATTGTCTGAAGTAGCTGTGGTCAGCAGTTACTGTAAGAATCACCCATATTGAGTCATAGATCAATGCAGAGTATTGACTCCGGCAGTGCCAATTGTGGCTGGAGAGCGTTTGTTGAAAGTGGTCACATAACATTTGAAAACAGCCACAACCGTGCACCTTGCACTCGCGTCACCGCTACGAAGATAAAAAGTTGTGAACTGTGCTGCAGAATTATCAAAATGTTTAGATGTTGTTCCTCCATGGCTATCAACCTTAGAGATGTTCTGATTTGTCCAAGTGATCTGTGGTTAGGGCGCCTGCTGCTGGTGGTGAGATGGGAGTGTCTCAGCTGGAGATCAGCAGCTGACAAAAAGGTATGCTGGGAACCTGGTTCTGGGTTGCGTTCGAGTCGAATAGTGTTTTCTTTTTGCTTAAGAAGGTTCCTTACAGGGATAATATGACCCAGAAGTACCTACATGGCAGCCATGATAAGCTCTTTGAATTATTTAGATGTTAGGAAAGGGTTTTTAATGCTACCTTTAATATCCCCTTTAGCAAATGATACACTGGACCATCCTTAAAACTGAAAATGAGATAATGCTGTCCCACAATTCCTTGCAGCTGCAACATTTCAGGTCAAGACGTAAGCCAGGGCATATTTGTTTAATATAATACATATTATTAGTTGTTTTTGCTAAACCTTCATTGAAATGTTTGCTGTGCCATCAATAAGTACAGTTACTAAGCAACTGTAGCAGGGCTTTTGGTGTTTGTTTCGCCATGCTGCAAATTACAATGTCCATTTGTTATTAATACTGCCCTCATCTAATTAAAAATAGCAGTTAGCCCAGCAATCAAGCAAAAAGATGCTCATGTCTTTTTTCATGTCATTTATTTGGCACCACCTTGTTAATGTGTGTATTTAGCTATTTGTTAGCCATGTGGATGCCTGTTGCATTCTGGGAGACTCCAGAATGATGGATGAATGAATGTAAATAATAATCAACATTTATTATATATTCCCAAGCATAAAATGTGTTCTGCTTTTAATAGACTTCTTCTGGCATAAAGAAGTGTACGTGATATGTGTATGGACGATGTTTTTGAATTATCATCTTTACATTTTCTAATGTCCAAATATAATATAAATGTTTTTATGATTTTCAACAGGAAGTGTCAACAAAATGCGGCAAACATTTGGGCAGAACAAAATTGACTTCATGCATTTAAATGTGGCAGGTATATATAGAAAGTTTTGTTTTTTTGTTTTTGTGGTAAGTTCTGTAATTAAAAAATGTCCCTTTTACTGTAATCATATTTCAACAGAACAATGTAAAATATGAGTATTCATGATTGATGCCAATGATCATCCTGTAGATGGCAGCAGCATCCAAATTTGGACTGAAGCCTGAATACAAGACAAGGCTATACAGTACAGGCAGTAGAAGTATTTAGATATAGCTCTAGATTTTTTCTTGTAGAAGTAATGATACCTCAATTTAAAAATGCTTAATTTTGAGTAAGTCTAAAAAAAAAAAAATTGATTAAAAGTGAATGTATTTTTCATTTTGCCATTGCTGCTGTTTGAGGTTGATTATTATATAATATTAATTACTTTTTTTTTTAGAAAGACTGGAAAAGTCATTTTGTGCCTCTTGATATAGGTAATTATTAGAAATAAATTGATCATACAAGTAAGCAACTCTATATGGGGTTTAAAGCTAGGGAGGAAGGATAGCGTCAATAGTTATTTTTTCTTTAGGACTCTTTCTTATAAAGTAGAATTTGCATGACAGAGACTGAATGACATTACAACAGTAAATAGATTTAAATTTCACCACAACAAAAACATTGCTTGCATACAGTACACACATGTAAGATACGGTTTAATAATTGTGTTTTTAAATTATTTATTATTATTATTCATATATCCCTGGCTAGCATTAATTCAGATTTCAAACATTTAAGTTTTATAAAAGTTAAAAGTGTGTAAAAATGGTTAATGATGATCAAAGATTAGCCAATTTGATATAGCTACATAGGATTGGTGCTACGTACATGATAAACATTTGGCTAATATGTCAAATGTGCTCAGAAAACGCAGTCCGCTCTTCTGCTTGACAAAGTGGTGGCCAATGATGTGCCGTAGAGAGATCTGTGTGAACAGATTCTCATTCTGGCCCACTACTCCAACAGCTGATTTTCTGACAGGTGCAACATCAACCAGAGAGGATGAAATAATCTCACAGTCACACACCACTGGGTTACACAAACAGGGCTTATGATCAGAGAACGCTGTTCCACCGACCAGCTGGTGGAAGGTGGGAGGACACCGGGCAAAAGTGGCTCTCTCATCTCTGAAATGCAGCTGCTCAGGTGTTCTCAGGCAAGGTATGAAAAACCTAATTGCTTCAGCGCTCAGAGGCCATCAGTGGATAGCTACACTGTAACTGAACCATGAAACCTACTTTCTGCAGCTGTGATAGCGCAGATCATAAAACAGCTGGGGGAAGAAAAGGAAAAACAGTATGCACGCTCAGAAAATGTTCCCTAAAGGTTAATTAAATAAGAAACATGACCAGAGTAGAAGTCACACTGAAATGCAAAGTGCAGATTTCAATGATGGCTGTGAATGTTTGGCAGCTTGTCTTGAATATGTAATGTTGAGAAAATGTGGCACACTTTCCAGACTGGCTGCTGTGACAAATGAAAACTATTTGCTGCCAACTTTCAAGAGCCCTATACAAACTGTTCTAATATTGACTTTCTACTTCTCCTTTTCCTCCAAAATGATGAACCCTTGCAAAAATGGAGTTCACTCAGGCAGAGAGATAGGGTTGATGAATTGACTTCTTATCTGTTCTGTCAAAAAAAAATTATCATGTTGATGTGCTGTACCCTGCAAGATAACAAGGAAAATGTTTTACAGTGTACACCTGCTGTCTATCAATTTGTCGAGATGTAAACAGTTATTGCATGACAGATCACACACTTCTTATCAGTCACCCCTTCACATATCACTTGTAAATACTTTGGATCATGAACATTTACCCTGACATTCTAAGTCCCAAGAGGATGAACCCTAGTTCTTTAACGATCCCTTGACTTTCCTGTTGTACCACTGGCAGGGTTGGCGTGGTTTTCTCATTGCCTTTTGAAATTAGTACAAACATCTAGGGCCATCATCAAGTCAAGAAATGTAACTGGTCCATAACTTTGGTTTATAACAAAATACCTGCTAAATGTATTCCTATTCCAATGTTAGCATGCTTACAGTACACGCAAAAAAATATATGGTGAACCTACTGTACCATTGCGTATTCATATCAACTAAATATAAGCACGCTAACATGCTCAACAAGATGCAAACACTGTAGCATTATATAGCTATATATTATCATATAAGCATTTTTATTTGGAGCATCTTTCATTAGCATTTAGCTCGAAAGACTGTTAGAAATGCTGTGGACTCTTAGTTTTGTTATTTTATTTTTTACTGGAAATCAATATACAGCTTTTATTTACTGATTTATTGAATGCCTTTGGTGTGTTTTCCAAATCATAGATAGGCTTTTGTAAGCCGAGTGGTTACAGCTCATACCCTATGACTGTGATTTCTCAAGTTC